ATCTGAAATCAAATTTGTTTGAATGAATGTAAATTTAATTTTGCATTTGAAAACACGTTTACATACCTTTGGCTGTAGCTGAATTTGCAGAGGTGCTGACTGTTATGAAGAAGCATCTGCGACGTGCAGACTGAAAGCGTATTTGAACGAAAAACCCGCCAAGCAAAAATCTATTTAAAGTAAACAAGCCCCCCGCTGCATCCCTTTTTCAGTAGTATCGAACTAGTTCAAAATTCGCCAGATGAGATCTAGTTCGTTCAGCATCCCTTTTTCTATAGTTTTGAACCAGTTCTAAATTCGTCATTTTAGATATAGATTTCTAAAATTGTTTTTTAAAAGTACCACATATCGCCGCTTTTGAACTGGTGGCGATCTAGTTACTATCGGACTGGTTCGTTTTTGGCGATAAAAATCTAGTACGGAACTACAAATTTGGTTCACCAGTTCGGGGTTTCCCTACAGGGTATGAATGTATGGATATGTAACAACCTTGTGTATGTACATCAGTGTTGCCAGGTCAATGAAGTGGGAAATCGTCAGTTTAGTTCTCAAAAATCGTCATTTGCTTGTAAAAGTCGTCAACATATAAAACAAATTAATAAATAGAATCAGGAAGCTCTTTTGGTTTTTTTTTATTTATTCTAACTTCCGTTTGCTATGAGTAAAAAATAAAGAGTTTAACTTTTTTACGAATTTTTAAAATTCGCATTACTTTTAACAAAAATTGTTTTAATTGCAATAAAATCGTATTTTCATCTTAATTTTTTTTCAAACTGCCACTTAAATTTGTGCATTAAAAACTGTTCATACTTACAAGTTTTTCTAAAGAACTTATTCATAATTCCCTTCGCTCAATAAAATATGTACGGTACAGTGGAATAACGCCCTCCGAAATATCTCCCGTGGGTTTTATTTCCTTTTTAGGAAACACCGCGGGCGTTATTGCCTTTTTGGCTTTATTTCCTAAAAAAAGGGAAAGGCTCTTGTTTATTTTAGAATACATCCAAAACCCCCCGTGTTTTATTCCAATACTAAATCAAAATTAATTTGATGATTACATTAAATTAAATATTTGTTTCCCTTTATTATAAGAAGAAATTCAAATTAATGATGACTTTTGTCGGTGGACCTTATTTCTATTTCGAAAGAGAAATAAATTCCGCGGGCTTTATTTTAGTTGTCTGTGTAACTATCTTTAAATTTGAGAACCAGCCAAATTTACACATAAAGAAAAAATCTTCAAAATGACGACCAAACTTTCAACCTGGCAACACTGATGTACATATGTACATTTGTTGCCACTATTTGTCTTTTCCGACCAAATTTGGTCGCTTCTTTTTCATTTTGTAGGTTGGTAGGCAAAGTATGATTTTGGGCGGATAGTTGAATTAAATTTTTAAGTTCTTATTTATAAAAATATATATTTCAGACATCATTTTGCATATAAATATTTGCCAATTGTACCTTTCAAACATTTGCCAATCCTGCCTTTAAAAATAAGAAACCTAATTGGTTTGGCCACTGATGGAGCCAATGTTATGGCTGGAGACTTGGGCGGGCTGAAAACATTATTGAGTGCAGAAACCGATTTATTTTGTATAAAGAGCACATGCCACTCGCTTCACCTTTTCTCAAGCTACGCTGGTAAAAAATTGCCGAAAAGCATTGATACACTCTGCCGCAGCAAATATAGTTTATTTTCCCACAGTCTCAAGGGGATACATGAACTGAAGGAATTTTAGGACTACTATTCGGTAAAACCCCACAATATCTTGGGTATATCTCAAACACAATGCTATTTTTTATTTCTATCGTATATTTTGCACATAATTGCCCAATCTTAATAAAGAGATGCAAGCTGAAAGCTCTCGTTTGCCATACTTACCAATATGCTAATATCAAAGCACATTATCTCGTAATTTTGAGTAACTTTATTAAAAAAGATGCGGTCAGTTACAATATTAATATTGATTTGAAAAATGAAAATAATCATATCAAAATATCTGACATTTTTGTTGGAACAAAAGCTGAGATGTTTATGAAAAGTAATGTTAATTGTTCTGAAATTTTTGAACTTAAGACCAATATATTAAAGTTTTACATAGAGTTTTTGGACCAAATAAGATTTGATTTCAAGCGTAAAGATATAAAACTTTAAAAATGTTTCATATGGATTCGGATGTAGATTTTTTACTCACTAGTAATGGGAAGGGAGGGCTAACCTTGGGCAATGGCGCAATTTCTGTGGCGCCAGCGCTCTAACACCAGTACTAGGTATTAGGTATCTTCGATTTCACATATAATGTCAACACGTGCCTGCCTCTCCCCGAGAAAAAGACTACAACAGGTAAAATAGAGGAGCAACTTGGCAGTATGGGAATCATCTATTCCACTTATCAATTCCAAACCCCAAAATATAAATTGGTCAGTTAAATTGGTAAGATCGATTGATATCTTATACCAGGGGCTCTTAAACTTTTAAGATTTCATTTTATGGAACCCCATATCAATTTACTAAAAATCGAAGGCAGTGCAATTTAAATATGAATAAAAACATTTACTAGAAATAGTATACATACTTTATTTTTTAATGTGAAGAATGAAATTGTTTCACTGTTATTAACTATTGTATAAAATAGTAGTTCGATATAATGTCTGAAAGCTGCATGCGCATTTCTGGGGTAGCATCCAATTTCGACATGAATTTGTTTTTTGTTTAAGGGTCATTCCATTGAAAAGAGGAAAACGACAAAAAATTTAAATATGCCCTAATTATCTCTATTTCAGTAGCCACCTCTGTTTAAATAACTACATTTAGAAACTTTTATTTCATGCATAAGTACTTTACACCAGCCATAAGGAGATGTTCCAGCAGTCACAACTTTAAATATTTTCTATGAAGATTATATAAACCTCATTTTTATTGAAAACGAAAGCGTATAATTCATATCTCAAAACACAAATACATTGTTCGTCCAAATTAAGTCTTTTGGCTAAAATTCATCTTTGAGTGCACAAGGGTAAAATAGAGTTATTTTCAATGTCCCACCAGTCACATTCATTCAAATGATAGTTACATAAAACTAAGAAATCGTTTGGTATTTTTGTTAAAGCAATTTTATATATTGGTTATCATTTTATGTTAAAAAAATATCTTCCGCTGTTGTATAAGTTCCGACGGCATAGTTAAAATTTACAATTTATGACATTCTGGAGTAAAATGTCCCACTAGTCACAATGGAATGGCCCATAAGTGTAAGCTGAAAACGCTGTTGACAGAATACGTTATGACAGAAGGAAGCAAAACTAAAATGGCCTTTTTAGCGACTTCATGATATTTACTGTTAACACTAACCCAAAACTCTTTCAGAGACACAGATTAAAATGTGTGTTTCAATGTCGAAGTACTCTGGAGAGCTATGAATGCTTCATAAATGGATTTTGTACCAAACCGATATTACTACTACCATCCGAAAAATAATCTGACTAAGATTCCAGGTGATTTACCAAGTGCCTAGTTAAGACATTTCACATTTCATTTGGCAATTCATCGCGTTCCTTGTGGAAAGTTTTATATAATTCTTTGGCTACAGCGGCCAACTGGCCATACAGGTTAGAAAAAAACCAGGTAGCAAACGCAAGCACTCAGTACAGCAATCATACCAACAACAAGTACATATCGTCGCCTGGGTAAAAGATTGTCGTATGTTGATTTCAGCAGGTTGTGGGAAATTGCGATTGAAGTTTGGAATGCAATTTCTCAAAAATGCGAAGATAGATATTCTCCAAAGTCTCTGGAAATGTTACTAGTTTACAAAATTCTTAAATTATTTAATTATTAATGTTTAATGTTAATTAGCTTTGAGTTTATGAAGGATTTTCTTTAGTAAAATTTTGTCGTAAGCGTCATTTGTCCACAATTTGGCAGCCACTTTGTATGAAATACGACAAAATGAGATCAAAATTTCTACAAAATTAACGACACCTTTTACTAATATCTCGGAAACTAAAGGAGATATCCAAAAATGGTAAGATATTGATTAGTTTAATATGGCTGCATCACTAACAAAATTTTCACAATTATAGAAAAATTTGTAGTCAATATCTCGGAAACTAAAGGAGATATCTAAAAACTGATAACACCAATCGTAAGACTTTATTTCAAAATATATAACTGTATCTAGAACTAAAAATCGTCAAAATTGCGCCTACGACAATCTTTCATCCATGCAACGATATGTATGTATACTTGAAAATAGATAATTGCGTCTCGGTCAAGCTGTTTATAGAACTTTTCTGTGGAACTCAAACCTAACGCCGGGTTACTTGAGGTTTTTATTTTTTTACTCGTTTTTTTTAGTATGAAACTAACAAGTATTGTACCATTTTACAGTCCTGATTAAGTGCGCGAACTTTTAATGGCACTTGCCAAGGCACTTTAGTACATTTTTTTTAAAGGAGGGCCTTTCTAAGTCGACAAATTATAAAGATTTTAAATTCATAGTTTAACAAATAGTCTTAATTCTAGAAAACTTAGGGCAATTGTGTCGTTATTTTTTACTTAGGTTCTAGAAATGTTATTTAGGGTTAAGGTTCCCAAGCTTAAATGAACAAAAATAATAAAAATGAACCACAATAACCGAAAAATGGTTACAGTTTGACCAAATTTCTAGGTTTTTCTTAAATGCCCATAATTTTCAAACTGCATGGGATAGATTTTTTTCTGATTTTTCTCATGATGGTTACAATCAATCCTGTCACCCCGTTTCGGCTTGACGTTGAGTTCTGGGACACCCTGTATACAAAGCCATTGCACAGATAGTCTACTATTGCACTACTTAAAATTGAATGACACATTTTAAAACTTTTAATTTAATTACAGTACAATAAAATGGTTACAAAAAAACGAGTGACATCTGCCTAAATTTTTCTGAGGAAAAAGAGCACAAAGTCACATGCAAGAGCTATGGCCAAAAGTTATCAGTAGCAAACAAGTCAACTTGTTCATTATTTCGGCATATGAAGCGGAAGCACCCTACCCAGATTATTGCGAGGCAGACTGGAAACGTAGTAAATGAAAATAATAGCGAATCGAGACCTCCCCCTCCACAAAGTCTACAACTGCAGCAAACCAACCAGCCAACCATTCAACCAATTGCACGGTACTTTAATAAGTCAATTGCACTGAAAAAAAGGAAGAAAAAGAGAGGTAGGTTCTTAAATTGATTGTTAAAGAGTACCATGCCTTCAGCATTGTTGAAAGTTCGGAATTTAAAAAATTTGTTTATCTTTTGAATCCAAATTATCACCTACCAGCGAGAAAGTCGGTTTCTTCAACTCTATTGATAAACGCGTACTCGGAAGTAATGGAACCGGTGAAAGAACGATTGAAAAGGGCGTTTGCTGTTGGTTTAACAGTAGATGGCTGGACTTCGCGAGCACAAGACCATTTTTTCAGTGTTACTGCGCATTACATCGTTGACGACGACAAGCCAGCATTTCTGGCATCCGATTTGCTGACTTGTATGTCATACACAAATCGACATACGGCTGTCAACATAACTAAAATGTTAGCAGACGTATTGAAAGAATGGAATATTGCGCATAAATTTACTGTCATTGTTTGGGATATGAAAGCGGCTGTGCGTGGAGGAGGTGGGAGGCACTGGGGATGTTTCGCCCATACGTTGAATTTAGTTGCGCAGTCTGGCTTGAAAGAAGTTGGAGTGGTTTTAGAAAAAGTGAAGGCAATTGTGCGACTATTTACCAAAAGCAGTTACGCCAGTTCGCAGTTAAAACAGACAATGGAGGGTATGCAGATGCAGCCTCTTAAGGTAATTAATTACGTTCCGACATATGAAATGTTGAAGCGGTTTTTAATGTTAAAAACTTCACTGATCTCATCACTGGCTTTAATTAAATCTTCTACGCGAGTTAATGAAGAAGCAATGTAGACATTTTGGCAAATGACGAATGGGTAGTTATTGAGCAAAGCATTGAGATAATGGAGATGTTTGAAATTATAACAACTTTGATAAGTACGCAAAATCATATTAGTTCTTCGACATTCATATTTTACGTTAAAGAGCCGACAAAACATCTACACTCATTTCGAACTGCAGAACTCGTACTAACAACGCGCAAACTAGTCCTAAAATTTGGAGAACTTAATGACCGTTTCATAGACTTGAAAAAAAAACGTATTAATTTCACAGGCTACAGTTTTGGATCCGCGCTTCAAAAAGTTTGGATTCATAAACGAATCAAATTATAAGACCACTGTACGGATGCTGTACAACAAATTCGCAAGTGTAAGAGTTCAGAGTGACATCTCCTTAGAAAGTGACGTAGACAGGGAAGAGGAAGTAAATCTTACTAATATACAAAATCAGCGATTAGATAAAGTGCGGAAAGACTTTGATGCGGAAGTTCAGCAAAATTTAAGGCAAAATTAAAACCAACTCGCATCTGCAATAGTAGAACTAGATAAATACTTAGCTGAACCTATGCTGCCCAGGAAAGGATAAGAATGGCAAATATCACTGCCCATTGCTATGGTGGAATCAAAGAAAACACATTTATCCAAGATTATACGAAATAATGAAAACGAGACTATGCATGCCAGCGACCTCAGTCCCTTGTGAACCAATTTTTTCGTATGCGGGACAAATTCTAACACAAACAAGTAAGAAAGTCTAAGTTCGGGCGGAGCCGAACATTAAATACCCGGCGCAAATATTAAATATGTTTTTTCACCTTTCCGAAACCTTCCGCTAGATGGTAAGCCGGGGTGTATCAATTTTGAGTAAATTAGCGTCCTTCAATTTCGAAATATTGAAGTTTCAAGCATTTCTGAAATTTACCGTTATATGAGAAGCGGCCGTTATTTTAGTCCGATTTCAATAATTTTCAATACCAACCTACCTTGGATTAAGCGAAACCTACATACCAAATTTCGTTAAGATATCTAAATTTTTGCTCGAGTTATCGTGTACACGGACAGACGGACAGACGGACAGACGGACAGACGGACGGACGGACGGACAGACAGACATGGCTTAATCGATTTCTTTTTTCATCCTGATCATTTATGTATACATTTGTCTATATCTATCTCGATTCGTTTTGGCTGTTACAAACAACCGTTATGTGAACAAAAATAATATACCCTTGTGCACAAGTGCGCTCGGGTATAAAAATAGAAAACATAAAGTCATCCAAATTATCGAAGATGGTGTTTTTAAATTATAACATAGATAATAATGTTTTTTGAGGATGAAAACCACTGTAAATACCTTAATTTTATAAATGTTACAAGATAGCAATACTGTTTACAAGACTGTGTATGTGTACCTTAAACTTAATATAAGTATTTATAAATATGTATTGTAATTATTTACAATGAAATATTTATTGTAAAAACAATGTGTCATATGTATACAAGTTTTTGAAACATAAAATGATAGTTTTAAACTCGTGTCATATGAATTTTACTTACATACACTTATGTAGTGTATTACACATTAAACGATTTATGCATTTGAAATATTTTCGTTTTGTTTATGTTTTATATGCAATATAGCATTGCAATGCATTGTTTCAACTCAATAAATTATAAAATGGATTCACTTCCCCTTGGGTAATTTTTTACAGTGAAGAAAAAACGGTAAATTATACATACTTATATAATTTTAAACTTAAAAAGGTAACCTAAAAAAAGGTAATGGGTAGGTGGTACCCAGAATTATAGGCAGGCTCTCGTCTTGGTTACCCACCAGATTACCTCAACCGGCTTTAGGTGTTACTCCAGAGGTAATAATGGGGTTACAGTTATTAAAGTTCTTGGTTACCTTTTTCCTCTATAAATCCCTTGAAATAAAAAAAAAATCGTTTAAAGTTAAAAAATGTATTAACTCATAATTTAAAATGTGTTCATCAATCTATTTGAGTGTGATATTAGAGTTTAACCAACTGAAATTATACAAGTCTTCTTTACCTCGTCATAAAAACCATATGCATGTCCTAATCATGTAACTCGGTATGTGGACGGCTTAAAAAAGTTTGATCACATATCGAAATGGAGGGCAAGTCTGTTAGCATGTGAACTCCAGGACTACTTAAAGGCAAGAAGCTGTATTTTTCTGTTCCGGCTTATCTCTACAAAGACGCCCTTCTACCTCTATGAGAAATGAATATTCCCGAAGTCTGAGCGCTCAAAGGATCTTATTGTACCCAACTATAACTTTATAACATCGACTAGGCTCTTTTTCATCAGTGCGATTAGAACTTGGAATTCTATTCCAATCATAACAAGACGCAGTTTAAACAAGAGTACTTAAAAAAAAGTCATATATTCTCATTTCTCCAATTAGCTGGAGCGACCATCAACATTAGTTTAAGTCTTAGTTTAAGTCTTTATATTTTATATTAATTTGGTAATAGTTTATGTGTTATTAATTTCAATTAATGCAAATTTTTGTTGTGCTAAAAAAGAAGAAAATTCTTATTGTACTAATGGTTCTTGTTTAATAATAATAATAATAATAATCACTCTGGTGAGCTGCTACCTGTCTCCAAACGACACAGTCCCTGTCTATAGGGAAAAGCTCGAAGACCTTGAAGACGAATTCCGCGATATAACTGGCCACATAATTGTTGCTGGAGATTTCAACGCAAGAGGCGTGGAATGGGGTATGCCCCAAACAAACACCAGGGGAAGACCGGTCCTTGAAATGGCAGCCCGCATTGGCCTGACCATCCTCAACACCGGAACGACCCCTACATATCGAAGGCGGGGTTTTGGATACTCTATCCCTGACATAACCCTGGTCTCAGAAAGCCTTCTTCGAAGGGCTGACGGATGGAGAGTGATGGAAGACCTGAGTGATAGCGACCACAACTACATCCCCTTCCAAGTCACTGACATAACGCGAGGGCAAACACGTAGAAAACCAGGATGGAACCCGTCTAGGGTCGATGTTCGCAAGTTCGATACGTCACTCCTAGCAGATTCCCAAGGTATTTCACCCACAATGGGAGAGATCCACAACAGGGAGTCTTGTACTAAGCTAGTCGAAGAAACTATGCGCTGCATTCACCGGGCATGCAAAGCCTCAATGCCACAGAGGAGAGCATGGTCAGGTAAAGGCAGGTATACTGGTGGAATGACCGAATTGCTGAGCTGCGAAGGGCCTGCCATAGAATGCGGAGACTCGCAACGCGCGCTCTTGGTAGACCTGAGGCGCTGACCAGAGCAGCAGCCTACAAAAGCGCTAAGAAAGCACTTGGGACCGAGATACAGAAGAGTACACGGAACTGCTGGAAAGCGCTATGTGATGAAGTGGATCGCGATCCCTGGGGCCAGGGATACAAAATAGTGATGAAAAAGTTCCATACATCATCGCAAGCGATGGATGAGGCCGGAGTTAAGAATATAGTGGATGCGCTATTTCCCACACACCCACTAAGAGCCGATACAGTGTTCGTCGAGGAGCAAGCCGAGGCACCACTGTTTTCGACAGACGAGCTGAAGCTAGCCCTGCGAAGCATGAAGCCGGCAAGGCTCCAGGCCCAGAAGGAATACCAGCGGAGGCAATCAGGTTAGCAGCGGAAACGAGCCCTGATCTTCTGCTTAACATGTACAACAGCTGCCTTAGGGCCCGGGTCTTCCCAGGCCAATGGAAGAAGGCGAGACTGGTGCTTATACCCAAGGGCAAAGGGGACCCAAACTCTCCTTCATCCTTCCGGCCACTCTGCATGCTAGACACAGCAGGCAAAATGATGGAGAGTCTGCTCAAAATACGCTAGACGTCAGCCATAGAAACCGCGGGAGGCCTTTCACCCCGACAACATAGCTTCAGGAAGGGACACTCAACTATATGAGCAATTGGCGAAGTAGCGAGCGTATGCCAGAACTGCAAGGCGCGGCCAATAGTGCTGCTAGTCACACTGGACGTCAAGAACGCCTTCAACTCGGCAAGATGGGACGACATGCTGGAGGCCTTGGAACGGTCATTCAAGGTTCCAACATACTTGCTAGATATGATCCGGTAGTACCTCAAAGACCGCTGGCTTTTGTACGACACAACACAAGGTCAGAGAAAGAGACGTATAACCGGCGGAGCGGCACAGGGGTCTGTACTTGGCCCGGACCTCTGGAACGCCACGTATGACAGTCTGTTGCGCACGGAAATGCCGCAGAGCGCCTTCTTTGTCGCCTTCGCGGACGACGTGGCCGCCGTCATAACACCAAGAAATGTCCAGCTAGCACAGCTCAAGCTAAACCAGGTCATGCGCAACGTCAGTGGATGGGTGAGCGATCACGGTCTGCAACTGGCTACAGCCAAAACGGAGAACGTGCTTCTCACCAGAAAACGGATCCCAACAATTATAAATATGATGGTCGGACCTCAACTCGTGACGACTTCTAGGTCTACAAAATACCTAGGGGTGAAGCTTGACAGCAAACTCACATTCTGGGAACACTTATGGAGTATGTGGAAAAGCTGCGCAGAGCACGGTGGCTCTAAGCCGGCTGATGGCGAACGTGGGCGGCCCGAAGCCATGCCGCAGGAAGCTTCTGATGACAGCGGTCCAATCGGTGCTCCTGTACGGGGCAGAAATATGGGCCGACGCATTGAAAGTCAAAAAATACCGGATTCAAATGTCTTCGGTCCAGCGCAGAGGGGCACTACGCATTGCTTCTGCATACCGTGCAGTGTCCGCGGACGCGGTCCTAGTTATTTCTGGCGTCATGCCAATTGAGCTACTCGCTTACGAGCGAAAAGAGATTTAAAATCTCAGTGCCGAGATAGGTTGAGCAGCTGCCGCGGCAAGGGCGCGCGAGCAACTGATCCAGCAATGGCAACAAAACTGGAACGCGAGCACAAAAGGTCGATGGACGCACTCCCTGATAGCCGACCTTCAAACATGGCTGAACAGACCATATGGGGAAGTCGATTTCTACCTGACGCAATTCCTCACCCGTCATGGTTACTTCCGAGAATATCTTCATAGAATGGGAAGGGTGGACTCACCGTTCTGTCACTACTGTGGAAACGTCGAAGATAACGTGTACCTTACATTCTTCACCTGCGAACACTTCTTGATTTCGCGCAGAATGTTGGAAGAAAGACACGGAGACATAACTCCGAACAACATAGTTGGGGTAATGATATCCAGCGCAGAAAAGTGGGAAGCAGTTGCGAGATACGTGAAATTCGTACTCCGCTACAACCCTGTAGTCAAATGTACTAGTTGTAAACTACTTCACAACTAGTATGAACCACATGCCCAACTAGTCAGTCAACTATCTTTTTTCCATGCAACCAACTGCTATTTTTAACATGGGGATGTCCTACGAGATGGCAATTGTCAGATTTCGGTCAGAAATATACCAGTCTCATACTAGTTAAAAATAGACAGAAAAATACTAGTCCAATTATGGACCAAATCCACTACTTTGGGAGTCAAAAAATAAAATGAATTCATGAATATACAATAAAACACTTTTGATTAAGTACACTTTAATATATTACACATTTTTCTTTAAGGGTTATTAAAAGTAAAAGGTTTCCGGTACAATAAATACTATATTTTTATCTTTTTTAATAATATTGAATATGCAAAAGAAAACATTTTAGTTAAAAATAAAATGAAGACTTTGGTTCAT